ATATATATATATATATATATATATATATAAAGCTTCCATAAAGTAAATATACATTTTTATGATTTTAGTAACTTTTTGTTTTATGGATATTAACAATCATCTTTTTACTTTTGGTTTTTCAACATACCATCTTCTATATCTCTCATCTTTTGTTGAAGGTTTCATCTTTCTCATAATATAGAACATTTTTTCTCTCATAAGTTATAAGTTAGATTCATTTAAAATGATGCCTACTTTAAAACACTTTCAGGTTAAATTACAACTTATATTCATTGTTTGTCATCTTTCCAAGTAAGATATCCAAGAATTAAAAAAAATAATCTTAAACTCTAACACCAAATAGAAAAATAAAACTCAATCCACTATTTGTATTAATATATTTTTGTATACAAATGTTACATTATAATTATACAATACTTTATACCATTATATAAATTTAAGTAATTAAATATTTTAATCTCAGCCACAAATTGTGCATCTCTCTTCTTGCACACCACTTAATGGCATTTCTAGAAAAAGGCATTAGGCAAGTCAGAATTACTTTCTTGGCAAGTTGGGACGTGTAATCGCCATGCACCAATTTATTTGTGAAAGCTGTCATGTAATAACCTTATTTTTAGCACTGATAGCAGGAAAAGTAATTGGGAATAATATCTAAATGATATCTGTCATGTAATTTCAGGATAGTAGACCAAATTTTATACAGTGATGAAATGATTGGTATATATTAAGGAATAATTGTAGCTAATGTCATCTGTCCTATGACAATCTCGTGTATGTATTTTTATAAAGGAAATTGATAATAATTATATCGTTCGGTCTTGTGTTGTTTCTCTATACTGTTCGATCTCATCCACTATCATGAACAGCTCGGTTGTAAATCTATGAGAAATATATATTTGTAAAGAAAAGAAAAGATTGAAAGATGAAATAGTGGATATAATATCTTTTAGCCATTATCTGCGGAAAAATTTACTCTTCCGACCAACAAGACGTTATTATTGATACTAGTTTTACGAAAGTAGTAATAAAAGTCAACGATTTTATTCACAGTACATATTATTTTTAGAAGTTGAAATTGAAGCTTCATTGGCGTTGGTTGTTCTCTTTTTAATGATTAAAGTTCATAAAAGAACACGCAGTGATTAATGTTGTTTGGCTCATAAACTCCTTCTTTAACCTATCTTTTCATCCCATACATAGCAAAGTTGGTGAAGACAAATTCATTTCTCCACTCCCTTCTCACTTTCTAGCATTACAACTTATTTAATTTGTGTTGTCTCTTTTTTCTTTATATATATTTTGAAAAGGTTTTTGAATAGTGTTATGGTCTAAGTTGGATCTCAATAATGTTCTTAAGGCATTTAAACTACTTGAATTAACAAACATTTGAATCATTAAAAATGGACAAATATTAGGTTAAAAAAGAGGAGATTAAAACAAATAGAAGAAAAGACAGAAAGTATTTTTAGAAATTTAATATGATAACGACGTGAGTAATAGTAGCATAACACGTTCTTACATTCATTTGGCATATAAAATAAGGATAAAATGATCATAATAGAATAAATTTTTATATTTTTTCAAAAAAAAAAGTAAAAAAAAATAAAAAAAAATATTTATATACGTGAAAGTATCATTTCTCTTAGATATTTTTTGGGTGTAAATTTGTACTCTAAAAAGAGTTAACTAAAGTAAAATTGTATAAAAGATTGGCATATAAGTTGTTGAAGGTGATAACATAGAGACATGATGGGTGATGGGAAATTAATTGGGTGAAGTCTGAGTTAAGTGACCACATGCATATGCTTCTGCGCACTGAGATAATTCTGATGCTGAATAAGGGCACTGTGGATAAATTATAGAACAAAAGAACTGAACCACATTGATGAGAGTGGAAAAGGCGATGATTCTGGCGAAGATGGCAACTTGGAACCAATTCAAATATTGTTTTTTTCTCAGCCATTCCACCCAAATTTGTTGCCTTTGATGGATGTACAATGGAAAAGCAGGATCAATAAGGACCACATCATGTTATCATGTTCTGCTGTGGCACCCACAATCAATTTGTGCTTAAGTCAAACACACATCACTCTTCTTTAATCTCAAATCCTATTATATAAATCTGACATTCGTTTATTCTTCTTTATCACACACACACACACACCCTCTTCTACTTTCTTTTAGCCAAAGCCAATCACAAAAGATAAGAGCTAACATTAGTGCTTGTCCTTCTTGTTTTTGAATTGTAATACCTACATTCCACTTCACACCACTAACCACGGAAGAAATTTCAGTGTTTTGCAACTTGTAAAGGGTGGTAAAATTAGTGATTCTTTTGGATGCTTTTATCCAACCCAAAGTTAGCATCACCAAAAAGTTGTTAACTTTCCAAAATAACCGAGCATTGGATTCCGATAAAGAGTGGACTATCTGGATTGTTCTGAGATAAAATGTAACCTTCACATGTCATCAGCACAAAATACTTAACATGGAAGGATGGTTTTAGATAAGAGAGGACCATACGGAATCTAGGACACGTTGGGAATGATCCTCTGTTTAATATACTTTCAAGTGATTACCTTTTCTACATGGGGCGAGTGTTCGAAATCAAGATTCTCATAACCACCACAAGCAGAGGAAATGGCATCCTCTGTTTCAACAGTATATAATTATAATTATTATGTTCAACTACTGGTCTTGTGGCGAAAGAGCACCATGTTTGGTCTCATAAATTTCTCTCCATTCTATTCAATTCTGTGGCATAGTTAGATTTCAAAACAGAAATGGTCAAGATTCTATGGCATACATCTCAATATAAAATTCAAAGTACCACATAGATACATTAGATAGTATCCACACAGAAGACCTACTGGAGTAACACAGTGGCCCAGTTATCCTTTTTTTTTAAATAATAGTAATCACTAAAAGCTCAAAATCAAAATCATCTAGAGATTTGCATATATTCTCATTCTGAGGTGGCCGAGCAAGTGCTTTTGTGCCCACGAACGAATGCAGTGTCTTGGTGGGGTGGGGTTGTTGATTTTTGTTATGTTCCTGAACCTTTGAAACGCTTAATTTATGAGGAGGCAAAACCGACATTGGCCCTGGTCAAACCCTGCTTCAATTCAAATATAAAAATGATTCTTGCCTTGAAATGTCTCTAGTGCCTGGAACAGGGAGTGATTACAGGCCGAGGTGCTTGGTTATGTGACAAAGCTGACAAAAATTTTATGCTTCTGTTAATATCATTGCGTCATTTACAGTAATCACAGTAAACATTAAGTTTCAGGTAGCTAAAAAGATTTTATTACTATGCATTTTGTAAAGACAAGTTTATGAGGACAGTTGAAAAACATTGTGTATAAATTCGGAGATTGCCTAAAGGACTTTTACTGCACATCTGGAATGCGGCAGAAGATTTTCTTTAGCTTGGGGGGAATTAGGCAATTAAAAAAGAAAAATACCGATCCAGGTTAGTGAGTCACAATAAAACCTAAGTAGTGCAGAGTGAAGATAATAACAAGAATTCATTAATTATCTGTGCAAACAGCAAGTATATTGAAGACTATAAATGAATCAGTCGGTAGGGTTATTGATGGTCTTTTGTGGTTTGTTTCCTACCCTAATTGTTGAATTTGAATACTATAAAGCAGCAGCAGGTTAAATTAAAAGAATAATTACATCACCTTTGAACAAGCGGTTCAGCAATGTAAGATCAAACATTGCACTGTTTTGATATGGAGATGACATTTCATGTATTTCCTTATCTTACAATTGGGTTACATCACGATAAATACAATTGTTATTAAAACTAGGAAATGGCTAAAGAGAAGCACACTGTTCCAAAGTGGACCGTATCCATGATAGCAATTTACTGTGATAAGATTCCAAACTGGCCCAATCATAATTCACGAGCACTTGCACCACTGAAACATTCTTTATATCAGTCATCTATGTTCTTCATGTATTCCTTTGAAAGTTTAGTTTCCATTATCAACTGTTGTTCTTTGATTAGAGAATAACCCGCTTCTAGTAAAGCATCCACCGTTTGCTATCCAACCAAATACAGAAGCAGAGTCAACTTCAATTGAAATATTTTCACAAAACCAAATGAAGATGTTTATAGGAAGAGAAGAAACGAAAGAATCAAGAGAAGAAACGAAAGAGTCAAGACAAGACAGTCAAATATGTCAATATGATTTTCTTGAAAAGAATTCAATTCAATAAAAAAGAGACTACATTTATTATCTTCCATCTACTTGGTAGGAAACTACAAACAGAGAATATGCTTGCATAATAAAATCAATTATTGTTCACAATAATTATCTACTTTTTGATAAAATATTATTTCATTTAATGCTAGAGTAAATCGGTCAAGTCAATTTGGATCTAGTCATTTCATATTGTCCAACAATCGCCAACTGCTAAAGGAGATCTAGAGCAATATTTCATCACGACTAATTTGATCTACAATCAATCTGGTCAATTATTGCACCATCACTGGATACAGAATAAATGCAGAAATAGAAATAGGATCGATAAATTTACCTCTGGAGGAATAAATACAGGAAGGCTTTGGTCCTTTCTTCTTTTGAGAAGTTTGCTTCCGAAATTTTCAACACCTCCAATATCATCAATCCACTACAATCCACCATGTATTGTGTTATTATAAACCAGCTTTCATGAAAAAATTTATTAAATTTGGATTTTGATCTTGCATTCCAGCTCTATAATCTCATGTATAAAGGCATTTGTCAATTATCATCGTTGAAACTTGAAACATCAGTTATGTCCAGCATTGGTATTTATTTATTACTATTTTCTGTAGATATTTGTATTAGTCATACTCCTGTACCGTGGAAACATATTCCCTTAGTTAGATAAATAATATTAAGATGTAAGGTGATAGAAACATATACATTACGACGTAAAGGTTCTCCCTCTAGATTGTTTCTCTTTACGTGACATTTGATAAGAGCCTTTATGACCAAATGGTGAGGAGTTGAATCCTTGACCTTGGGAGAACAACATAGAAGTTATCCTTTGTGGTTTGAGAGCCTAAAGCCCTATAAACTCCACACTAACAGTGTGGGAGCTGCGTTTCATTTCTAGCAATTGGATCCTAACAGACTTTCAACAGATTGTTCATCCCAAGTTCCAATGGGATTTTAAGTACATAATTATTTTACTAATAAGGAGTTTGCAATGAAGAAGCATAATGCCTCAAAATCTATCTGATAAATGTGTGAATAATTTCAGTAGTGCAAAATAATTACATTCAAGAGTCACATAAATCGAGAATCCTTTTTTTGTTCTCTTTTTTTTTTATTATATTATTTGTACTGCCTAAACTTACTGTAAGTATTTCAATAATAAAAGTAAATAAAAATTATAGTTTTGCATTATCGATGTATAGAAATAATTAAGATCAAAATGTAAACTTACCTTTAAAATAGATCTGTCATAAGTACGTGATCTTAGAGCTCCGTAAAAGTCCAATGCTGAGAACAAAATAATTGAAAAATAAACAAACCATGATATCCCAGACATGATGCATTAAAAATTCTATCATTGGTAAAAAGATGGTAAGTACAAGATACTTAAAATCACCCGCAGATAATAACTAACAAACATGGAATTAAATAAGATTTTATATGGACAAGCATGAAACTGAAACCATATCATACGAACCCAAGAAAAATAATTAGGCAACCGTGACTCTTCTTTCCTGTTACTTATAAAATAAAGAACATGTTCTTTATAGCCACACTCTCTCTAACAAAATAACTGCTAATTAACACTTTTCTGGACCTACTGTAATGCAGTGATAGAAACCTCTAAGATGCGGATCAGTTAGTTACCTTGATTAGGGAAAGTTTTCACGACCCTTTCAACTTCATCCCTAGATATACCATCTTTCTCATACATTCTGTGAACGATATTCAGGATATCTTCAAGGTTTGGTTGCCTGTTCCACATTTACAGACAGCATTTTAATTTTAAGGAAGAGTGGAATGGTTACCTGCCTCCATCAAAACAGATATTTCCAACTCATTACATAAGCAATGTGATATATGATGTAATCATTCCAAAATATAGCTTTATCAAAAAACAATTATCATGAAAATTCCACCTGCAACACTAATGCAAATCTTATACTAAAACCTTGTATTTAAACATGGACCTTCAGCAACTTCCTAAAAATGGTAAGTATAACAATCCTTGAATAAGATGGATCGCAGTTTACCAGTAAAACTTATCCATCCTTCCATCACGAATCAGCGGAGCATAAATAGTTGAAAAATCATTCCCTGTTACAATGATTGGAATTCTGTTTGTGATATCTGAATCCCGCCAATCTTGGCCAACACTTACTCTTGTAGGATTGTCTGACAGATTCATAAGAGTCCCAACAACAATTTGATTGTTGACCGTCATTTGAGTATTCCCTGTGTGAAAGTAGCAACATTACATTCAGCAAATAGTTGATCAAATATCAGCCACACTAGAAGATGCAGGACACACAAACACAGTGTAGTGAACAAAAAAGGGGATATGACCCAAAAATTACCGTATTTATATTATTCCATTCTAAATCAGATACAGGCTTACCAAATCTACCAAGTCCAGCATCAATATCATTGATCATCAAACAGCTCATTTTCCCCTGTATCAGGAAAGCACAACTCCACAATTTCAGAAGATTAAACAATTGCAATAACATTGCTCAACCCAAAACATAGGTATTGAAGTTAGACGTAACACAAATATGGACAATCTTATATTATTTTAACCAAATTTGTCAGCCTATGCCACACTTAAGTATAGACATTGTTCAAATAAGATTAGACTGTATCCTCAGATCAAGGAATTACAGTAAGATTATAAGCATGAATATTCAAAGGTAGAGCTAAAGTAATGTTTTTTACTTAGAAACATTCATGTTATGGGTTGTGCACACCATAGGAGGTGGACCTTTCCCTTCTTCGTAAATTAGATCCCTTTGATGGTAAATATGAATTAGAATTTAGGCACCGTTTGTTTAACCTAAGAAAATTAACTCTTGCATCCAATGAAAAGCACAATTTCCAATGCAATTTGGAGAAATGCATAAAAAAAGATGGGAAGACAAAACAATACAAGTGGATGAATATTAAGCTAAGAATCTTTAGATGATGAATAGTCTCTAATAGCATAATCTGAAGCACACATATTACGTTCAGAAATAGGCCATATATAGTAGCATTCTTTTCGGCCTACAACACAGGGAGGTTAAGCTCTGTTGTTTGATTTGGACATATTAGCGCTTAGTTTTAAACATGTTCTAGGTTATCATTAATAATTTTTTTTTTAATTTCTCTCTAGTATCTTCATCAAATAAATAATAACTCAATGCAATATTTTCATAATACTTTAAAGGAAGAGAATATTGCAGTGTACAACCTCCATAAAATATAGAATAATATCTTTTCCAATGCCAAAATCATGTAATCAATCACATAAAATAACATGTTAACTTCGTAAACAAGACATCCTGAAAACTTTAAAACTCCTAACTTGGTTCTGGACCACTTGAGATGCTGTTCTATAACGCTCGCGAATCAATTTTCCTGGTTCTCCTGTAAATGAAAAATTGGTAGGATGGGGTAACTAGACCAGTTACACATGTCTACGTACGTAAACATATGGTACTCAAAATTAAATAAACTGCACAAGCATTCATTATTAACCAAATTTAGAAATAAGGGGTAAGAACTAATGCAATGAAAATAATTTTCAAATAATCCCACCAATCATTTTTGAGTGTCAGATGGAAGAACTAGTTTGCATCAGTTATATGGACACTGTTTTGTCATTTCTTCAATGACTTGGTAAAATTGTCTATTTTTAACAATTAAAGCAACCGACTTACCAGCTCTCTCTGATTCTAGTTCCCCAGCAGACATAATTACGGGTTCGATTCCTATTGTCTGAAATATAAGTTCTGTTTGAAATGATTTCCCCTGTCCTTTTCCTCCCCAAATACCTGGAGGAAATTGAAAGTAAAGATTAAATTTAAAATAGAATGCACAGAACATTTCTAATTGCATATATAGACTATGCATGAAGCCTGGAAATTTCTTTGTGCCCTTAGTCATAGGCTTCACTTTCAGACAGATTAAATTTAAAATTACAATTGTGAAGTAATATTAGACTAAAACTGGACAGGGTACAGGTTTTCTGAGAGAGCATAAATCTCACAAACACATTCGAGACAGAGACAAATACAGTTATTAAATGATACAGTAAAAGCAGGAACCTAACGACAAGTAGTTACGTTTACTTTGTTTTGGGTTTTGGACAGACTACAGGAACATTCATTTGCAGTAGGTATATACCTAGAATTAAAGGAACTTTAGTGTTGAGGATATGAGCTAGGTAGTTCTTGACAATGTGACATACTGCATTCACAGAAAAATATAAGTTAGGTAATGTGCACAATATGTAAGCAGCATTTTAAAATTTGAGCACAGAATTATATATTAAGAAAAGGAAAGACGGGTGGACCACATGTAAATTTTGTGATTCTAAAAGAAATTGCCCGGAAGATTAGATAAGCGCGCGAAATAAGTAAATGAATTTAATTGAATAAGTTAAGGAAGCAGGAGTATTGACAGAGTGACAGTCTCTGATGATGAGATGAGCTATAATAAATAACTTTTTCGACCAAGCTCTCTTACTGCACCAAAATGAGTTATTAGCAGAGTTTCTTCAGAAGGGTCCATTTTGAGAGTGCTTACCCACTTTGTCCTGTGAAAAATAGGAAGAGAAAGGAAGGTGAAAAAGGCTAAAGTGTGGAGAAAGTTGAATGAGTAAGAAATTACCATGAAGAGAGGAGCGATGTAATAATCGCCCTGAAGGTATTCAAAGGACCTCGTCACTTTTTGACGATAATCAAACACAATGTCCGCTGCACAACAAAAACAAAGGAAGAGAAAAATGCGGTGTTTGGAATTATTACTGAAAAAACGCTGTGCGTAAAAAGAGAGTAATAATAACATTAGACTGACAATCTTTGCCGAGAAAATCGCCGACGAAAAGGGAATCGATGACGCCGGCACGTTGGCCGACGGCGATGTTCATGTTATCAGCCTCTTTGCCAAGTCTGTACAGATAGTCTCTTCCCTCTGCGTCCTTCGCCTCCCATGACGACTGCTCCGACAATCGCTTCTTCTTCTTCTTCTCCTTCTCCTCACCGACTTCGCTGCATCGAACACGCAATTGAGCTCTGTATGCATGTTGATACTGTAGCACCCTTGAGTTTGGATTTGAATTTAAATTTAAATTTGAATTTTAATTTGGAATTGGAAGCCACAGAGGTGAATGTGATAACCACCTCGCCATCTCGATACGACAGTTCCCCGCCACTCAATCGCATTTCCCTCTCTTATACTACCACATCCCTTTTCTAACATTAAAAACTAATTAATTAATTAATTAATTATTCACTATATTGTACTTCTCGTCTTATCATTATCAATTCAATTAATTTATATTAGCCTTTATTTTAAATTTGCCTAAATTAGCAGCAAGTAATTTTAAGAGCGGTTAGAAAGAAATTAATTTGAAAATGTTAGATAGCGGTAATATTTGTTGCAGCAGATACATTTGATTGAATAGACTATAGTCCGGTGTTGTACGGAACACCGGAAGAGGGAATCCAAGAGTCGGCGTCTAAGAGATAGGAGGCAGTGAAATGGGCTGCTTGGGCCGGGTATCTAAGGACCGTGACGCCGGCCCAGTTAACTCTGTCGTCGGTGTTAGAGCCCGGCCCAACATTCTGAAACTCGATGTAGGTGACTTTGTCGGTGGGCTGGTGGGGCATGGGCTCCCAACCTTTAGGATCGACGATGGAGTCAATGTACGAGTGGAGGATGGCGACGGTGGAATAGGGTCTCAGGGGACGCCCAAGGCTCGCATGCACCTCTTTCTTTCTGTTCTCATCCTCCGGCGACATTCTGAATTCGCATCTTTGGAAACTGAACCCGCTTTTCTCATTCGGATCCTCTCGCGACTGAGCCGTGAACGTCACGTACTCTCTGTACCGCGCGTACACCATGCAGTCCTGGAACACCGCCGCTGCGCTGCCGTAGATGAAGTCCACCGTGCCGTAGATATCGCACTTTTTGTAGAACTGACGCCCGGAAACCGCCCACAGTGTGTCCTGGAGTCCTTCGATGGAGCATTGGAAGAATATGCTCTTGTCTGCCTCGTTCCGAACCGCCACTGCACTGCTTGCGTTCAGCCCTGCCCAGTTCGCAAATCCCATCTTCGCTGCCATGAACCCATCTCCACGAATGTCTGCAAACCAACGCAATCCATTTCATAGTTAAGTTAAAAGATCACTTATTTTAAGAAAACATTTTCTGTTCTTCGTTTCTCCAAGCACAAAATATTGCGTCAAACTTTTAACATTCAAGTAGTTTTTTTGACAATAACTAGGAATCTCAACAAGTGTTTCACAGTGTCACCGACGTCCACCGACTAATTAGGTCACTGTCAAATACATACGCATACAAANTGTAGGTGACTTTGTCGGTGGGCTGGTGGGGCATGGGCTCCCAACCTTTAGGATCGACGATGGAGTCAATGTACGAGTGGAGGATGGCGACGGTGGAATAGGGTCTCAGGGGACGCCCAAGGCTCGCATGCACCTCTGTCTTTCTGTTCTCATCCTCCGGCGACATTCTGAATTCGCATCTTTGGAAACTGAACCCGCTTTTCTCATTCGGATCCTCTCGCGACTGAGCCGTGAACGTCACGTACTCTCTGTACCGCGCGTACACCATGCAGTCCTGGAACACCGCCGCTGCGCTGCCGTAGATGAAGTCCACCGTGCCGTAGATATCGCACTTTTTGTAGAACTGACGCCCGGAAACCGCCCACAGTGTGTCCTGGAGTCCTTCGATGGAGCATTGGAAGAATATGCTCTTGTCTGCCTCGTTCCGAACCGCCACTGCACTGCTTGCGTTCAGCCCTGCCCAGTTCGCAAATCCCATCTTCGCTGCCATGAACCCATCTCCACGAATGTCTGCAAACCAACTCAATCCATTTCATAGTTAAGTTAAAAGATCACTTATTTTAAGAAAACATTTTCTGTTCTTCGTTTCTCCAAGCACAAAATATTGCGTCAAACTTTTAACATTCAAGTAGTTTTTTTGACAATAACTAGGAATCTCAACAAGTGTTTCACAGTGTCACCTACGTCCACCGACTAATTAGGTCACTGTCAAATACATACGCATACAAAAGTAATAAAATAGTTAGGTTAATTAAGCACTGTAATTTACCTCTGAGCTGTTAGCTTCAACACTTTTACTGAATACATGTTATATGAAATGAAAAGTTATAAATTTTTATACTTAAAAAAGAAAATAATGTATGAAATCAATGCAAAATATTTCTCTGTTAATAAAGTCACATGGTAGTACTCCATATTGAAATCTGTCACAATCAAATCTCCCTTCAATTTGCCGGTTGGTACAACACCCAACAAATATTACTCAATATTCTGCCTTCAAACATCAAATATATAGATCAATGCAAGAAAAGTTAGGTTATAATGATCCAGAAAGTGAGAGAGAAGAAAATTAATCCTATCATCTCCTTGAATTGAAGCATCAATTACGATGAATAAGACGTTAAATTGGTGCACGTGTTAGCATAAAATCTCCCGTTTAGTTCTTCTGATTTTCGTAGACAGTCTACTTATGAGTTGCATGTGATGTTTGTAGGTACAGAAAACAGAAACCAAAAGACCTAAAAGCTAGAAGACATGAAAATTAAGGAGCAGTGAAGGAAAGAGATAGAGATTGTACGTACCAATGGTGGAACCATTTTGGTAGCCTACTATTTTGGTGTGGTGAGGTCCATCTCCAAGGAGCCTAATGTTAGTCTTATGAGGAGGAACGAAGAGGTACTCTTGATAAGTGCCTGCTCGTACGTGAATGGTATAGGGTTTATCACTCATGTCAGGAGCCTGCATAATGGCTTCACCCACCGTTCTATAATCTCCACTTCCATCCTTCGATACCACAACACTGCTACTTCCACCCTGCAGCTGCCACACTGAAATTGAAACAAATATCAGCAACACTGCGCTTTTTCTTGACTCCATCATCAAAACATGCAATGATTTTCTTCCTTTCTCTCTGTATGTATATATATACAACCGGTTCGGTGGAAACCACGTTGACTTCTCTACACTCCATGCATGCTAGTTGTATCTGCTTCAATATATAAATAAAAGCAAAACAAAACTAATATATATATATATATATATAACCTATTATTCCACCCCTGAACTTCCAAGTGAAACCCAAGAGAAACATGGACGTTTTAAATCATTTTTGGCGTTCCAGTTCAACCATCTTAAACGTAAGAAAGAGGGTGTATGGGAGTTAATTTTCTTAATTTTAAAATTGATCGATAATTATTCAACAGTAATATCCTAAAGCAACTGAAAACCAGGTATAAAACTCCAAATGACAGTGCAAAATTTTCCTTTTTGGTGCAGGGAATCCAATGAATTTATTTCAAAACTATGTCGCATGAAATTTGTTGTGATTAGAATAATATTTTCAACTCAATTTATCTCTTAGAACTGACGGGGTTGGTTAACCAAAAACATGGATTCGGTAGGAGCAGTTGGCCATCCCCGAGGAAATAATAATGGTTCGTTTTGGTTCAGAATAATTCTTTCTTTTTTCAGTAAAGCTATCTTTTATAATGAGATATACTTGTGAAAAGTATTTGTGTTTTTATAGAATAATAATGTTTATAATCTGTGCTAAAAGAAACTACAAATACAGCAACTATGGTTTTGCTGTTGATTATAATTATAATACGAATATTGGCATTAATTAGTTTGTTACTTTATAGTGTAAAATGAAGGTGAATAAATGGCGTGGGAAGGGTGAGAGCGGTAGGTGAAGGAGAAGAGAGGAGTGGGTAGGTATAGAAAGTCTTTAGGAGTAAGAAAAAAGAGGCTTTCATTTGATTGTGGTCCCATTGTCTGTCTTGTGGCTCTGTCTCACCAACCCCAACCTCTCTCCTCCATCAGATCATCCTTCACTCTTTTCTTTTCCATTTCTGCCCTTCACCAACCACCACCACCACCACCGTAAAAACTCATCCTTTATTATTATTATTGCTGTTGCATTACAAATACATAAACTATCACGAACCCAGGGAAGCTCCGAGCTCCTCTTATCCTAGCCAAATACAAATTTTGTCTTGTTTTTCCTAGGTTGGTGTAATTCAGGAATGGCCATTGAAACAGAACAGGGGAAGGAGTTCATTTTCAGGTCCAAGCTTCCTGATATATACATCCCCAAACACCTTCCCCTCCACGCCTACTGCTTCCAAAATTTGCCAGACCACGCCTCACGCCCCTGCTTGATCAATGCCCCCACCGGAAAAGTCTACACCTACTCCGACGTCGACGCCACCGCCCGAAAAGTGGCGGCCGGCCTCCACAGATTGGGTGTGCGACAGGGCGAGGTCATCATGATTCTTCTCCCCAACTGCCCCGAATTCGTCTTTGCGTTTCTCGGGGCGTCTCATCGCGGCGCCGTGGCCACTGCTGCCAACCCCTTCTTCACCCCGGCGGAGATTGCGAAGCAAGCCAAGGCATCCAAGGCCAAGGTGCTCATCACGCAGGCCTCTTACTACGAAAAGGTGAAGGAGCTGGAGGAGGTGAAGTTGGTGTTCGTGGACTCGTGTCCGGTGGCGGAGGTAGATTGCGGTCACGTCCATTTCTCAGAGTTGTGTGAGGGCGAGGGGGAGATGGATGAGGTGGAGATAAGAGCGGATGACGTGGTGGCATTGCCGTATTCGTCGGGGACAACGGGGCTTCCGAAAGGTGTGATGCTGACGCACAAGGGGCTGGTGACGAGCATTGCTCAGCAGGTGGATGGCGAGAATCCGAACCTCTACTACCATCCCGACGACACCATCCTCTGCGTGCTTCCCCTGTTCCACATATACTCCCTCAACTCTGTTCTTCTCTGTGGCTTGCGTTCCAAGGCTGCCATTCTCCTCATGCCCAAGTTCGACATCAACGCCCTCCTCGCCCTCATTCACAAACACAGAATCACCGTTGCCCCCGTCGTCCCACCCATCGTTCTCGCCGTTGCCAAGTCACCTGATCTCGCCAACTACGACCTCTCTTCCATCAGGCTCTTCAAGTCCGGCGGAGCTCCTCTCGGTAAAGAGCTTGAAGACACTGTGAGGGCCAAATTCCCCAACGCCAGACTCGGCCAGGGTTACGGTATGACCGAGGCAGGCCCTGTGCTCACAATGTCCTTAGCTTTTGCTAAAGAACCCATGCACGTGAAAGCAGGTGCATGCGGAACCGTCGTGAGAAACGCAGAGATGAAGATCGTGGATCCTGAAACCGCCCAATCCCTATCTCGAAACCAGTCCGGTGAAATCTGCATAAGAGGCGACCAGATCATGAAAGGTACCTACCAACCTACTCTCATTGTTTCTAGTTTGAAAAGCAAGGGGAACATTGATTAAGGTTGTTGAGGTGGCGTGTGTTACAAGAAAAAGGTAAATGAATAGTTGAATGAATGAATGGATGAATGAATGATTCAGGTTATCTAAACGACAAAGAGGCTACAGAGAGAACGATAGACAAAGATGGGTGGTTGCACACAGGTGACATCGGTTACATCGACGATGACGATGAGTTATTCATCGTTGACAGGTTAAAGGAACTTATCAAATACAAAGGGTTTCAGGTGGCTCCGGCTGAACTCGAAGCGCTTCTTCTCACTCATCCTAACATCTCTGACGCTGCCGTCGTTCCGTAACTCTCTCATCTCACCTTAATCTCTTCTATACTAAGCACTGTATGTATTATCTTCTAATTAATCATAAATTTCAGAATGAAGGATGAAGCGGCGGGAGAAGTACCTGTGGCATTTGTGGTGAGATCAAATTCTTCCATCGACACAACCCAGGATGAAATCAAGAACTTCATCTCCAAACAGGTCGTGTTTTACAAGAGAATAAACACAGTATTCTTCGTTGATGCAATTCCCAAGTCACCCTCAGGCAAAATCTTACGTAAGGATCTACGAGCAAAGCTAGCAGCACCAGCAGCTGTATCAAAATGATGTAACATCAACGAATCCTACGATACGATGTTCTCGTTTTTATATTTTACAATGTCCCCAACAACCTTCAACAAGACACAAGCAACAGCCATTATTGAGAGCCTTCATCCTCCTCTGTGTTACGTATTTTCTTGTACCTTCGTTTGTAACAGCAGTGTATAACTTACGAGTGTGATTTTTTTTACACAGTTCTCTTCTTCTGTATAAATTTCATTCCTTCAACAATTTTCACCCTTTATAATAGCAAACTATTTTTTTTAAGCAATATTCAATTTTTGAAGTTGGGAAATTTAAACAAACTCGTGTTTTCTATATTTTATTTAATTATAAACAAACAATCATCGACATTAATATTTTGTCTAACGCTTATAAATATTTCGACCACGTGATAGGCTTATTAATGTCCCATAATTGGTTATATATCAATATCAACCCGCTTGCACCTCCCTCAGAGTAATCTCAAAATTTATTATTGCATATTTTGCAATTATATTCTGTGAGATAAATTATTTCTAAGTTAATATTAGAAATGATTTAACCATACACTTAAACAAATGTTTTAACCCATATAGCGTGTATTTTTTATTAATGCAGATGTACTTTTATTCTCTTCAAAATGTAATTGGGTTTTCACTGTAGAAGAAACTTGAACCCATTATTTACCTTAATATATTTAATAAAACAATTTATATAGCCATGAAACCATAAATTTGTATACAAGGAAATCTTAAATTTTCGGAAAATACATGCAAATATTTCTAGGAATGTTTTTGATTAATTAATATATATATTTTAAATATTTGCAGTAAACATAATTTTCAAACTAGTAGGTTTTAGAAAATTATGGTTCTTAAAATTTCTTCATTATGAACTCACCACGTGATAATCAAGGAGTTTTAGGTAAGATAAACGTAATATCGTTTTGAATACATATGAGATTTTTATTTGGAGTTTAATCTAGTCTAGTCTAGTTTTATTTGAAATGTGATTTTAGGTTTGAATATTTTAGTTTGTATTTAAAAAATTATATATATATATATAATGTTTCTTTTTACTTTCTTAAAAAATATAATTAATTTACAAAAGAAGAATCGTTCCTTATACCTATTTAGACATCATGCTAAAAATGATCACGACTTAATTTAAGTTATTATTCAATATAAATCACAATTATTTTTACTTGAATGACCTTTTTGACTGAAAATCCATGTTAACGACTTAAGAGTAACCCAATTCAAATTGGGTGCATCACTGTCACACGGCCTCATTAGGTATTGGAGTGAACATCATCAACTACCACCACTAAGCAAGCATTTCAAAACTCAATAGAATGGGTAATGAAACTTCAGAAATCCTTTTCTCAGTGAAAGAATCGGATGAACCACTTTCACCGCTGAATTACAGTCACATTCCAAATTTCCAATACCCAATTCTAAAATACTGATGAAAAAAAGATGAACCCCTCAATAATCTCAAAAGGACACTGCAAACAAGAAAATGAAAGAAAGCTTAACAGTGATCGGTTACTTTCAACGTGATTCATTGGAGATATGAAGGCCCACAGGCTACAAAGATTTTATGGTGAATGAATTAAAAATATGAAAATAATACAGGTAACATACTTTCAAAATTCAATATATAATACAAGGCTGAAAATTTCCAGTACAACAAATTGCTCGTGGTCACTTCGCGGGTTTCCAGGTCATGTTGAAAGCAGGTCGAAGGTTTTCTTGAACCCTTCCGAAATCCATGCTTCCTACGTTTTTGGTACAGAAAGTGGAACATTGACAAGTACCACACCTACTCTAAATATTTAGTCATTACCTGCACCAGATTCCACAAACATAGCATTAGAAAAGGCCTAACCATATATGTCAAATAAACACCAAACACAATCCTAACTAAGGTTCACTTTCTTATTAGCAAATAGCCTCAGGTAGAACTACCAATCATGGCTACACAAATCGAACATGATTAGATATCGAGTCAAAATTGATTGATGTGAAACTCCAAAAAAATGGACATCCTAATACCATATCCAGAGGATACACTGTATTAACCAAATGTGAGGCCCCCAAGCTTTTATTTCTACCAAGATCTTAAAGATTAAGAACAATTCATCGTATATTCTGCAAAGATCAATTATTAAATGGGCCTGATAAACAAACTACAATTGACAACATGATGTGTCATGTGACTAAATATACGGGTTCAACGACTTCGGGCTTGCAGAGGGAAAATTCAAGATACAATTGTTTGTGGGGC